CGGTAAACAAAAGATCATGAGTCACAACAAAGGGGGGGGGGGGGGGAGGCATATTTTTTTCTGCCACCATATTCAGGTGGTTCTCCAGCGAGAGAGCTAGATCAAGAAACACTCCTAAGCTTTTCATGGTGTCCTTCAAGAAAAGCTTTGCTCCTTCGTTCTACAGTGGGAAGCAAAACCCCATGGACAACAGCAGCCTTACTAACCAGGATCACGTCTGTGTTGTTAAGGATTCAGTTTCACCTTATTCTCCCTCAGCTCTGAGACTAACGCTTGGGCAGGTCACAGGTCTTGGCCTTACTTACCTCACAGAGGATAAAATGAAGTGTGGTTCACCCATGGAGCTTGCTCCTGCTGTGTTTCTAGGAAATGCAATAACTCAAATAGAAAGGAAAATGGCCATGTGGTAGGCTAAGGGACTAGAATGTTTTAAGCCTGAAGAAAAACACAAAAGCAAACACGAGGCGAAGCCTTTAATACAGAGGTGTTGAACTCATTTGATATGAGGGCTGGATCTGACATAAATGTCACTTTGTTGGGCCGGGCCGCATGTGCCATGAAACGTAACATAAAGTACCAGAGATACAAACTTTATAAAGATCATTTCAGATGCTGAATGGCAATAGCAGGCGTGATTGGATTAGGTGTGATATGCAGAGGGGTGCATTGGTAATGAGACAGGAAACCTAGGTCTCAATTTGGTACAGGAGGATTTAGTCCAGGAGGATGACTCACAAAAGCACATACCCTACCACAATTTTGTAGTCCATAAAGGTGCTACTAGACTCTTACTCTTTCTACTGCTATTAGAAACCACAACATTCAGAAAACAGTGGGAGAACATTTTAACCTTCCAGGGCATTCAGTTGCTGACCTAAGAGTAGCAGTTCTCTTACAAAGGAATTTCAAAGGGAGATTAGAGAGACTGCTGAATTGCAACTGATCATGAAGCTCAAGACAATGCAAACTCCTAGACTGAACTGAGGTCGAGGTTTCTTCTTTCGTTACCATTTGCCATTTGGCATCTGAAATCACTTCAGTCTCCAAGATATAAGGACAGATGGACTCACATTCCAGCTGTATCTGAAGAAGTGAGCAGTGATTCATGAAAGCTCATGCCCTGCCACAAATTTTGTTAGTCATTAAGGTGCTGCTGGACTCTTGCTCCCTTTCACTAATAAGAAATGTAAGCTGTGCTGTAGGAGGGCCGTGCTGACTGCGTGGCAAACCCGCATGAGGGCACTGGTCTCCTGCCTGATCTCCTGGAACAAGGTTGGGAACCCAGGTATCAGACTAATTGGACAGGGCAAATTAACATCTGCTGCGTTCATCGTGAGAAGCTACCTTGGCAGGGAGACAAGAGATAAGGAGCTGTAAGGTTGAGATCAACACATTCCATGCCATGAACGTATGCCTGTAACTTTCTGTAACTTTCCCTGACGAAGGGAAAGGAGGGGAGTGGGGGAATTATTTTCAATAAATATATCTGCTCAAGCCTGGCGAGAGTTATTTTCCAGCAACCGTTTGTCTTGTGTCTTCTTTGAACCCTCCGAACACCACACTGTGCTGTTAGGTTTCTCCCCTCATCTGTTAGAAATGGAAAGGGGGATCTCTCCAAGTGCCATGGGATTCACTCTCTCTCTCTCTGGTGTGCTCTCCCCCCCCCCAAAGTGTGCAAACACACAAAAGCTTTTATCTGGAATAAAACGTTAGTCTTAAACATGGGACTGACTCTCTTT